ATATATATATATATATATATATATATATATATATATATATATATATTTATATATATATTTTATATATATATATATATATATATATATATATATATATATATATATATATATATATATATATATATATATCATGTCCACACATACATATAATATGTACACACATACATAAATAGCGCCATGTCCTTCCAATAAAAAAGTTAACAGATACATAGGCGTGTGTAGATGCATACTCTCTATAAATGTCTGCGTTGATTGATGGATGGATGGTTGCTTGCTTTGCTTGTGGCCAGGTGCGCTGTATGTGCTGCAGTGCAGCACCAAGGTACCCCCCCCCGCCACCCCGGCAGACATGAGGAGTATATGCCTAGGGTTTTTTAAGGGTTTTTAGAAACCCTAATAACCCAAGGGCCTACTTTCTTGCTGCTTTTGGTTGCGCGCGTGCAGCATAGGGCATTTCTGAAGTCAAAGAGCCCGCCACCGTAAGGGCCGGATTAGTTGGGGCGAGCATCCGTATGATACGAAGGGCTCACTTACAACCTTTGTAACGCTCTCAGCCTAAGCGAGCCCCACGCACCACGCACGGTGTGTATACCAGCACCACTGCTGACCAGCATGCAAGCGATGGGTATGATTGCTGGGCGAATTGGGTGGCGTATACCTGGGATGGCGGAAGCCATCCCGCTGGCACGCCTCACGGTTCGCCTGGCGACACAGCTGCAATGTGGGCCTATGGAGGAGAGGAGAAGACGCCTGGTAGCTGAATTTGTGCGGGAGGCGACGGATCCTCAGGGCCCGTCGCCACCGCCCCCCTCGGAAATCAGCCTATTCAGGACGACGCAGGCCCGCGTATGGTCCGGGGTACGATGGGAGAATGAGAATAAGGAGACGTTATGGCGGCTCGCAGTGGATGGCGTCCCCCTACCGGGCAACACGCACCTAGCCCGCATGACTCCAGAACGCTGTGGATGTGGCGGATTCGGTGGAGCAGCTGGTCAGCCATGCTCGCCACGCATGCATCACTTTTGGGAATGCCCGGTGGCGCAGGCGGTGCGGGCACAGATCGACCGGCATCTACAGTCTTCTCAGGAAGCGGCGGTAGGGGGAGTCACCCGAAAGCAATTCTGGCTATTACTGGCCCCAACCGGATGCGAACAGGCCGTATGGGATATAATCGCCCTGTCGGCCCTGTCTGCCATGGAGGTTGGCAGATGCTGCCTGAGGGCAGCGGGCAGGAGGCAGGAACGAGCTGGGAGCCAAGGACCACAGAACCGGGAGCACGCGCAGCAGGTGCAGGTACCCGGCCCCAGGCAGAGGCGGATAACGGACTTTTTCATCCAGGCCGACGGGGCGGGACCGCAGACGGGGCCTGCACTGAATGCGCCGGGGGATGAGGACGAAACGCAGGAGCGGAACACGGCGACAGGGGCGGTAGCAGCAACGGCAGGCGCGGCGGCAGCAGCACCCGCAGCAACCCCCTTGGAGCGGGCCTGCGCCCGGGCAGTGGTGGACTTCTGGGCGCGTCTGCGCTCCTTCACGGCGCTGGGCACCCCGCGGAGAGGCTGGGACAGGGTGGGACCCGACCACCCGATCCTGTCGGTTTCAGAAGGCGCACTGCGGTGCGCCGAAGCG